CGTCCGAGAGGCCGGCGGGCGCCCCGAGTTAGCTGCAGCCGCCGCGGCCCAGGCACCCAGCCTCGAAGCCCCGCCCCCTTGCTCCGCGGAGATTCCCTGGCCCCACCCCGGAGGCGGGGCCTGCCCGGCGCTCCCGAGGCCACGCCCCCCGCCCCTGGGCGCTCCCGGCTCGGCACGTGACAAGGGCGCCGCTTTGATGCTGCGCGCCATCTTGGTTGGGCTTCGAGAGCCCCTTCCGAGTTGGCGGGGGGCAGGGGCGCGGGGGCGCGGGGGCGCTGGGCCTGCACTCGCAGGACCGTGGTCTCGGCCGGCCCGGGCCTCCTGCACGCATCCTGGGATCCCTTTGAATTCACCCCGGACCCTGGTCTGACCCGCTGTCCCCTAGGTCGGCCTTGGCCCTGGCCTTGCCATTGTTGCCAGTGGTTTGTCACCTCTCACACCTGCTGTCTCTCGCCCAGTCGTTCCTTTTCTTTTGGAGACACCCATATTTTAAGTGGAGACGCTTGAAATCCAGATCCGTTTCTGTAGTAGAGACTTCACTGAGTAGTGCCACTATCTTCAGGCACCTGGCTGCTCTAACACTGTTACTACGAAATCTGCTATACACACAGTATGGAAAGTCTCAAACGCCAACATCCCTGACGGACGGATTCTAGCTGAGCCTCTCCATTTTCCTCAATTGCTCCCTCACTCTGCCCCCTGTGGCTATTAATGCATCTCCCCATCTGGTTTGTGAAGTCTCATCACGAGCCTACTCAATCCTTTACCAACACGAGTAAGCGATGCTGGAACTGAACAATTTTTATATAAATGCAATGTGTACGTAGATCTCTGCAAAGCGTGTTCTGTATCAGCACAAATGCCATCCATGGCTGAGATCAGTGACACATACAGTAACTTTTTTAAATTTTGCCTTAATAGAGTCACCATTTTTTGTTTCCTTGCATCTTTTGAAAAGGGCAGGGAAATCAGTATTTCTGATTTATTGGGAAGGGGGTAAGAACTGAAGCTAAATGTAAATCTGTATTATTTTGTTTGACACTTGGAGTAAAATCATAGTATGTATTCATAGTTAAATAAAAATTACAAAGTAGCTTTTAACCTGTAGTCCAGAAAGTTCAAATTCTCCAGGTGACCTGGGGTTCTCATCAGAAGGAAATCCCAAGATACTTCCCATCCTTTCACTAAACACGAACGTGCTAGAAGAGGTAACTAAGTCAACATAGACAATGGTCAAAACCTGGATAACCGCGTATAACACACTTTACCAGATGTTTGTCAAGATTATGCTGAGGGCCAGCAAATGGTGTGGTGGTTAAGGTACTGGATTCCCATGTGGCCCACCATGGTTCGAGTTCTGGACCCATTGGCTTGATCATGCCAGGCACCGGGCATATGTGTGTCCAAAATCCTGAGAGGATAATGGAGAAAGGACTGCAGAGCAGTCTTCCCCCAGGGGCTGACTATCTCTCACTTTCTCTGTCTCTCTTCAGTGAGCACATTTGCCCTATGGCAAAAAAAAAAAAAAAAAGTAAGAGAATAGCTAAGGTAATAATCTAAGAAATCTGTCACCATGCCATCAAGTTTGACACAAAAAACTCAGAAGTGATTCAAAACACAATTATTAAGTCAAATTTATTTCACCCCTCTTTTAATGTAACTCCTGCATGAAGCACACAATTCATAGGACAATCCCTCCTGGTCCGTGGCATCTTTCATTCAGGGAACTAGGGATTCTAGGGACTCTTCTCCCTTCATGCTTCAGTGAGGCAACTTTTGGTTGTAGAGACCTGCAAGGAGCTTACTGTTCTTAGGGTTTTTTTGTTTTCATCATTTAAATGTCCAGTTCTGTCTTCACTGACCCAGGCTCTCTCTCCATGTAAACAGCTTTTGTACCACCCTTAATGGGGGTGATGGTAGTTGTCAGCAGCAGTATTAACAGATGCTTCTAAAAGTAGTCTCTAAATAGCAGGGGGTATGGAAAATGGTAAACATCCACAAATCTAAGTTTGGCTCATGACAATAACTGCCCCATAAAATTTTCATGTTTAAAGAATACTGTGTTAATGCCCACCTCCTGGCAATGTCCAGCTAATATCCAGCTCACTGGATAATTATGGGAGTGTGGAGGAAGAGACAAGCAACAAGGTTATCATCTTAGCAAAACAAAATAGAACAAAAAAAAACCCCGTGACCATATTCTCAAAGTATACAAGCAACAATGGCAAGTCCTTTGGCCAACAGGAGGACATTAGCATTTCTGCACGGACAAAGGCCAGGCTCCTGTAGGCACACAGGTTCTTGATAGACGAGGTAGCACAGCACAGGGCAGAGCCATCACTAAGTACTTAGAGTGCAGGAGGCTGGCCTGAACAGGAGGTGCGTTTTTTTAAATGACCTTCAGCATAATAAACATGTTCCCAACACTGACTTTCTAATAAGTCAATGAAAAAAATGCCACTATCCTTCCTAAAATAAGACTGGTTTACATTTTACTTAGAAACACATCTTAGATATTCGTTTTAAGCTGTTTGGATTTATGGTACATCAACAAATTTTGACTCACCTTTTTATTTATTTTTAATCTATATACACTCTGCCCTTGCACCACGAACTACCACCAAAAGAGAGAGAGAGAGAGTGAGCACAATGATCTTTCTAATCATTGTAGAGCAAAAAGACCTCGGTCAGAATCCTGGCTCATTTGCTGGCTGTTACATGGAAGTCACTGATTCATTTTCTTCAACCATAAAATGGGACTAGTATAATCTACTTTGCTATCCCGTGAGAATTAAGAGGTATTATGTAAAGTTCTTGGTAGAATACCTAGGACATAAAAATTATCATCACTACCATCAGTCTCATGCCAAAAAAAAAACCTAAAATCCAAACTGGCAAAAAAAAAAAAGAAAAGAAAAGAAAAATGCAATAAATATCCAAAGTTATGTTTTAAAAAGATACACAAGTCCATCGTATAGATTCTGAAAACCCTGTCACCTGCTTTATTTCTGGAGAAGGGTAAGAGGAGAAAAGATTCATTCAGATTTGAGGGACAGCTAAACTGAAATCAACAGCAGACAATGTTAGGCCTCTGAGTTTTTCTGATCTATAAGAGGATACTGGAACTTGTTTGAAGATTTAGAAGTTTGAATTTTTCCCTAGAGCAAGATCATCCATTTTTGCTGGGATAAAAGAATAAAGAACAACAAACTCAATAGCACCAAATGGGATTTTAACACAGAAAACAGGGCCAGGTTTCGACTTTCAAATGCAAATTTTTTACATTAAAATATGTTTATAAATCATAGATGTTTTTCCTCTGGATTCAACCCTTCTTCCTCCCTAACAGGAGCCCCAGGAACCTAAAGAGCATGTGCATTACTAACCAGATATACAATCCAGCCACCCCTCCAAATTGGAATCTGATTACTAATGGACTAGACTCAGGGCTGCCCCAAGGGATGGACCGCAGTAACTACGCTCTCAGGGAGAATGGATACTGCGGGTGCCACCAATCAAAGAGCCGAACGCTGTGCACTGGGTCCAGGATGACTTGCACACCCTGTTCATTGCGCAGTTTCCGACCACCATGGACAGGGGAATCTTGGAACACCAGTCTCACTCGGTGATGCCGCATGTCTGTGCTCACATTGATAGTAAACTAGAAGGGAAACACAAATTCAGTATCCAATTTACACAAACGTGGTTTCCAATAGTTCACTCTGAAATGAAACATTCAAGACATAATTTACACTGGTGAGGCCACAAAATTAATCTCTAAATTATAATACCCCTCTGTAAAAACATAAAGAATTAAAGATGATTTGATAAGATCTTTTCAGCTTTATATATATAAACTACACTAAAGAAAGCCTCACAGGGCCAGTAGGTGCCACAATGGTTAGGGTGCTGGACTCCCACATAGCCAACCACGGTTCAAATCCCAGACCTGGAGTTTGCTTTCACACTTTTCCTCCTTCTCTGTCTCTCTCTAGTGAATGTACATGTCCTACAGAAAATTACAAAAGATAATAATAATAAAGTTAAATAAATTTTTTTTAAAAAAAAGAAAGCGTCATAGATGAACTAGGATACATGCATACAGACTACCATCAAAGCTATCTGTTAAAACTGGGTTAGAGGGGCTGGCTGGTGGCATGGTGGTTAAGGTTCTGGACTCCCACACAGTCAAGTACGGTTTGAGCCCTGGACCTGGCAGCTTGCTTTCTCACTTTCCATCTGTCTGTCTCTGGTCAAATTTAAAAAATAGCAATTTTTAAAAATGTTTTCTTAAAAAAAGAAATTGGAACCGGTAGATGGTGTAATGGTTACATTGCTGGACTCCCATATTGCTGACTGAGGTCCAGGCTCTGGACACAGCAGCCTAAAACTCATGCCAGGTATGTATGCATGTGTGCCCAAAATCCCAAGAAGAGAATGGAGGGGAAGGGATTGCGGCATGGCCATCCATCCCAGGGGGTGATTTCTCACTTTCTGTGTCTCCCTCGTCTCTCTGGTAAGTGCATGCATCCTATAGCAAAAAAAAAAAAAAAAACTCTCTCTAAAAAAAAAAAAGTGCGTTAGAACTGTTAAGAGATGGCGTGAAGAGACTCTAATGAGATAGTGTCGAGCAAGTCGAGCAAGATACATGAAACAAACCTGATTCTATTTTTTTGAAAAACAAACCACAAAAATCTCCAAGTGTAAACATGTGTGTATCTTGTATATGTAGGTTTGTGCACAATTGTGTGAGGATAGAGTACACAGAGCATGAGTATATACCTAGGTCATTAATGTGGTGAAGAGAGAGGTGTCTCCAATAAAATATCATGTATGGCATAATCTCAGTTATACCAAATTATTAAACAAGGTGGTACACACATACAAACATTAAAAGAACAATTCCTGAAGGGTAAATTGCAGTTATAGAATTGTCGCAGTCTAAGTTCCTTTACTTTTTTTTTTTTTTAAGAATTATTTTATTTAACTTTATTTATTTATTTATTTATTTTGAATTTGACCAGAGAGAGACAGAGAGAGAGAGAGAGAAAGCGAGAAAGCAACCCACCAGGTCTGGGACTTGAACCACAGTCAGCCACGTGGAAGTCCAACACCCTTAACCACCATGCCACTTGCCAGACCCCCTTTATTTTTTCAACATATTTACATATCATTAAAATTCTTTATATGGGGGACCAGCAAATGGAATAATGGTTATATCACTGGACTACCACATGGCCAACTGCAGTTCGAGTCTTGGACCCGGTGGCTTCAAACTCATGCTGGGCACCTGTGTGTGTGTGCCAAAAATCCCCGAGAGGAGAATGGAGAAAGGGTTGTGGCATGGCCAAACCCTCTGCAGGGTGATTTCTCACTTTCTGTCTCAATCTCTCTCTCTGGCAAGCACACATGCACTACAGCAAAAATCTCTCTAAAAAAAATTCTTTATATGAAACATCTTTTTATATATAGCAAACTTTATATAAAATTATATTATAGTTTGCTACAGGGTGTATACACTCATTGGAGAAAGACAGCGAGGGAGGGAGAGAAGGAAAAGGAGAACTCACTCCTAGGGGTACGGCCACACTGTAATCCCTTCCCCTCATTCTCCTCTCAGGATTTTGGACACACACACACACACACACACACACACACACACACACACACAGGTACCCAGTATATTTCTCAAACCGGCAAGTCTGGGACTAGAATCGCACAGTCAGCCATGTGGGATCCAGGAACATTAACCACCACATTATTGGCTGGCCCCAAAACTTACATTATTTTTTTTAAACTTTTTTTTTAAATTATTTATTTCATTTTATTAATTCATTCATTTATTTTTAATTTGACCAGAGAGACACACACAGACAGAGAGAGAGAGAGAAGGTGAGAAAGCAAGCCATCAGGTCCAGTACTTGAACTGTGGTCAGCCACGTGGGAGCGTCCAGCGCCTTAACCACCACACCACCCGCTGGTCCCAAAACTTCCATTATTTTAACCATAGAAATATAAAGCTATTTTCATTGTGGAAAGAAAACCTCATGTGTCTGTGACCATAAGACAAATTACATAAACTCTCTAGTTGCAGATCCAAATTAAAAATGTTTAGGGAGCAGCAGATGGCATAATGGTTACGTCACTGGACTCCCACGTAGTCAACCACAGTTGGAGTCCCAGACCCAGAAGCTTAAAACTCACACCAGGTGTGTGTGTGTGTGTGTGTGTGTGTGTGTGTGTGTGTGTGCGTACATGCCCAGAATCCCAAGAGGAGGGTAGAGAAGAAGGAATTACAGCATGGCCATCCCCCACGGGGGGTAATTTCTTGCTTTCTGTCTCTGTCTCTGGTGAACATACACGTGCTATAGCAAAAAAAAATTCTCTCTCTGGGGCCGGCAAGTGGCATGGTGGTAAAAGGCACTGGACTCCCACATGGTCGACCACAGTTCAAGTCTGGGACCTGGTGGCTTGCTTTCTCACTTCCTCTCTCTTTCTGTGTGTCTCTCTGATCAAACTGGAAAATAATGGGAACCAGCAGTTAGCGTAATGGCTATGTCGCTGGACTCCCACATAGTCGACCGCGGTTCACGTCCCGGACCCAGTGGCTTAAAACTCACGCCGGGCATGTGTGCGTGCGTGCCCAAGATCCCAGGAGGAGAAGGGATTGCGGCGTGACCATCCCCCCTGGGGGGTGATTTCTCGCTTTCTGTCTCTATGTCTCTCTCTGCCTGTCTGGCGAGTGCACGCGTCCTATAGCAAAACCCCTCCAAAAAAAAAAAACAAAAACTGGAAAATAATAATGATAATAATAATAAATAAAGTTAAATAAAATAATTCTAAAAAAAAGTTCTCTCTCAATAAGATAAATAAATAAATAAAATGTTTAAAACCTGGAAAAATATGCAGACACATATGGTATTTACTAATCTGATTCTCAGCTAGGCCTTGAATAGTCATAGCAGCACACGAAGGACACAACGAGCTGGACACCTTGAACCTTAACACTCCATTTATCATGCCACATGCACGACAAGGTCCTAACACAGTGTTCATGTGTAGGCCTCATCAATATTCCCAACAGGACAGTTCTCAATCACTAACGATCACGACACACGAAGGTGCAAAAACATTCCCCTTCCTATAAAGAAAGAAAGAGGTAAAATATTCTCAGGTATAATTAACTTACCACAAATCTGTGTGTCCCTAATATACACATCTGATTTCAGACTTTTGTATTATTCTTCAAATATTTCTTCCTCAATGGTTAAATTTACAAATCTCTTTCAAACCCTAGGTTATAGAAAAGTCTACAGAAAAGGTGAAGATGGATGCCTGGATCCCCACTTACCAGGGTAAATATCATTCCCATGACAATTGGAATAAAGATGAAATTGAAGGTGGTGACGTGCAGGAGGCAGCAGTCCTGGTCTGGGTTGGTGTGAACATCTTCATACTGAATGGGAGGCCGCAATCCTCCCATACACTTGCTCTTTAACCTAGGGGACTGAAGAGAACTGAGAATTAACTGCATGGCTTAGAAGAAATGTACAGAAGAAAATCTTACAGCTCAGCTAAAGCTAGCAAGTTACACTTTTCCATTATTTCCTCTCTCTTTCTAAACACACTGGTGTCTATACAGAGGTCACGGAAAACTTACCACCTGAAAGAAGGGGAAACACTTTTGGATGAGCAAACGTGGCAGTGGGCTTAGGCTGCCTTTGATGGTATTCCCTGCCACCTGACAACAAATGCAAACTTCCTGCCTCCATGAGAGGGTCCCCAATGGTTGAAAGACTGCAAATTCCTTGTATCTTGTCAGACTACAAAGGACTTCTACTGCCATCAAGCACCATATGGGGCTGGTCCATGTTACTTTATTTCAAGAAGGTGGGGCCAGCAGTTAGCATAATGGCTATGTCGCTGGACTCCCACGTAGTCGACCGCGGTTCGCGTCCTGGACCCAGTGGCTTAAAACTCACACCGGGTGCGTGTGCGTGCATGCCCAAGATCCCGAGAGGAGAATGGAGGAGAAGGGATTGTGGCATGACCATCCCTCCTGGGGGGTGATTTCTCACTTTCTGTCTCTATGTCTCTCTCTGTCTGGCGAGCGCATGCGCCCTATAGCAAAAACCTCTCCAAAAAGAAAGAAAAAAAAAAGAAGGCAAATTCATGCCTAGTGATACAGTTTAAATGTCTGTGTTCTCTCCAAAATTCATGTAGAAACTTCATCTCCAATGTAATACAGATGGTCCTCAGCGGATAACAATTCAACTTAACAAGTTTTTTACTTCACGGTGGTGTAAAAGCAGTATGTATACAGCAGAAATCATACTTTGAGGACCACATCACCTTCCTGTTTTTCATTTTCAGGACAGTACTCAATAAATTACATGAGATATTTAACACCTGATTATAAAACAGATGTTATGTTGGATGATTTTGCCCAAAAGCAGGCAGTGTAATGTTCTGAGCACGTTTAAGATAAATTACAATATTTGGTAGATTAGGCATATTAAATTAATTTCTTGAATTCCAATAGTTTCAACCTGCAATGAGTTTATCTGGCCATAACCTGATGATAAGTTAAGGAGCATCTGCAGTGTTAACATGTAAGGCCTTAAGGATGTGATCAGGTGATCCTTTGTAAATGAAATTGAGGTGCTTGTACAAGAAACGTCACACTGGGACCAGCAGTTGGCATAATAGCCATGTCGTTGGACTCCCATGTAGTCGACTGTGGTTCGAGTCCTGGACCTGGAGGCTTAAACCCACACCAGGCGCGTGTGCATGCATGCCTAAGATCCCAAGAGGAGAATGGAGGAGGAGAGATTGCGGCATGGCCATCCCCCCTAGGGGGTGATTTCTGGCTTTCTGTCTCTCTGTCTCTATGGTGAGCATACGTGTCCTGTAGCAAAAACCTCTCAAAAAAAAAAAAAAGCAGCAGCAGCAGCAACATCACGCTGGGTTCAGCTCTTTCCGGCCTTCTGCCCTCCATGTGAAAACACAATGTTCCTCCTCTCCTGAGCACACAACAAGCATCACCTTGGAAGCAGAGAGACCAGACCCTTATCAGATACCAAACCACCCAATGCCTTGATCTGGACTCACTAGCCTCCAGAACTGAAGAAAATAAACTTCTGTTATAAATTATACCATAAGACTGCCCTGCAGCTGAGTGGTTAAGGGAGCCAAATTCCATAAGGCTGACCATGTTCAAATCCTGGCCCGGGTGAATTATGTGTGCATGCTCCAAATCCCAACAGGATGGAGAAACGAAGAAGGAGCTGTGGTATGACCACACCTCACTGGGGGTGCTTTCTCCCACCTTTTCTCCCTGTCTCTTACTGGCAAGCACACGTAACTGCTGACAATTAGAAAATTAAGAACTTATATTATGAATAACCCAGTCTGTGGTACTTTGCTTTAGTACTAGTAATGCCTAGTGAAATGTGTTAAAACAAGATATTACCTGAAAAAGAAAGAAATGACCACATACCTGTTTTTTGAACTTGAAGTTGAATTCCCACATTGGTTCCTGTCTGTTCCCAACAATCTTTCTGCACCAGAAGAGTAAGCACTGTTAAGAAAATAAAAATAAAATAAACCAAGAAAACAAAAAGAAGAAAATCAAAATACACCATAAGGTGACAAAAAATAATCAGCAAAAACCTCTCTGACAGCTTTGAAGCCAGTCATAGTCCCAGTGCTGAGCGCTTACTCTGGCACAGATAGACCCCCATCTTGACACTGGTAAAACTGGAATCAGGTGATCCCAGGAATGTTCAGTAAGGAGAGAGGGACCAAATAAGTCAACCTCAGAGGCTACCGAGGTCAATTCCTACTGTTCTCATCTTTAAAGACAGAAGCATGGTATCTAGAGATAGGGTATTCGCTGACTCAGCAGGCCACTCCTCCGCATTAAAACATAAGGGCAGCCAGTAGCCACTAGAAAAGATGATAACAAGGCCATAGACAGGCAGGGATGGCTGGCCCTACAATAGAAACAAGCTGCTTAGGACCCCCTGGGAGCAGGCAGCCAGTACATCAACTACACAGTGAAGCTGAATTCATCTAGAGTCAGTCCCTCCATGGAAGTCGGGCTACAGCTAGGGTTAAGCACAAGAAGTGAAGTACCTCCCAGGGGACAAGGGGTGGGTCGTCCGCCGTGCCAGCTGTCCTGCCCTTCAGACATGCCCTGTACGTCCTGCTGTTCCATCAAAAATAATGGGCTTGGCTTTAAGGGGAAAACACTTCTGCTGCCATCACAACGGCTCCAGTGTCCCATACAAGCTAGCTACTGAAAAGAGAGAGAGGGGGAATCAAATACGAAAAGCTGGAGTCCAGGAACATGGGGACAACTCTAGGCATGCTGGCAACTCCCTAAATGCCATGCGATAATTGATATACAAGTGGCAAGGCCATGCATGGGACACCTGCCACCGCAGGTCCCACACCCTCTTCAGAAGATCTCTAAGAAGGCACAAAAGAAGCAGCCAGGTGGCCTCGACTTACTATCTGGATTAAGACTTTAGCTGTCATTCCACTTTGGCTTTTCATAGTCCACTTGGTTAAAATTAATATTCAGGGATCAGAGTATGAAGACATGGGCACTTTGGAATTTAAGCAGTAGCACTTGCATTGTGCACTGGAGCCGCTGAGATATGTCAAGCATGAGGAGTTTGCCCGATGCTGCTCTGCTCCCAGCAACTGAGTCACACCAGGCGTGGTAAAGTTTGAGACAATCCCCACCCTCACCCCAGTTAGTCTGATACTATCAAATTGTTTCTGGGGGGAGGGACACTGTAAATGTGAGATGATACGCTGTCCACTCGTGTTACAAACAGAAGCAGCTGCTGGGTGAAACTCTATTCGCTCAGCATGCCTCTCCTGCCCTCAATCCATCAACAGGATAACATTAAACTGAGCTCAGCCAATAGCTCTGACCACCTCGGTTCCCAAGGCTAGGGGGATGCCAAGATAATCTTGAGATCAACAGAACCCTTTCAATTAACGTATATCAGGTAGAATACTGTCACCCTAAAACTAAACTAAGGGAGAATAATCATTATAAAATGTCTATTACCATAAAAACAAAGTATAAGAGAATAGAAAGTACTATAGAATATTAGATTTAGGGTCAGAACAGAGCAATAAAAATTATCTACAAACTCAAAAGAAATGAAATTTAGAAAACGGTACTAGCTGAATAAGAAAAGGACCCAGACAACAAGTTGCCTAAATAATCACATGTGCTACGCTAACCTGGCTTGGCAATGGTGACTTGACTAGCGATTTCATCGGAAAGGGAAAAAAGAGAGAATGGACCAAAAACTAGTAGACCTACTCACAAGTCAGAAGAATGCCATTAACATGAATATAATGTACGAATACAAAATACTGGGGAAATCCTGATATGAACACAGGAAGAATTTTAGAACATTACTAAGGACCATAAATCAGAGTACCTTTTGCTCTCTAAAACAACCTAACAGAGCCTGGCCATAGCCTAGCACAAGGAACTTGACAAATGCTAAAAAAAAGTCGTCTATACCAGAATTCTTTCAGGTCAACAATAAAGGAGAACCTCAGATGTCAAGGTCACAAGAGAAAGAGAAAACGATTGAGCTGCTTGTGTTATATCTTTGTATCACAATTTATAGGACCTTTGAAAAACTGTAGTAGACAGCTACCATTTGAGCTGTGCTCTTCCTCGCCCAAACCATCAAAACCATTATATCTACAGTGGTCCAATGTACAATGCATGAGATTAAATTAAAACAAAGAGAATAAGGAATATGCAAAAAGCACAAGAAAGCTTTAAGGCAAAGATAACAGGAGCCAGCCCAGCACAGCAGGAGTCTGGGAGAAGTGAAACCTCTGAGGACCGCAAGTGTGCATTAGTCCCTACCAGCCTGGGACCTGGAGCCCTCCCCATCAAGGAAGCTGGAGACCAGGCAAGATAACAGGCCCATCACACAAGAGCCCATTAGTCAAACCCCAACATTAACTCTCACTTACTTTGGAATTCTTTAATGTGCTGGGAGTGCTTTCTGGAATGGCTGGGTTCTTGGAGATTCGAGCAGCAAACGGCTCATACATATGGTACAGAGATCGGATCACACACGCCCGAAGACAGCGCAGCTTCTCCATTGATTCTGGTCGCAGGCGCAAAGGCAGAGAGGCATCCAGCGTGTAGTGCCTGAAACATGACACATTACTCCTACCAATATGTGGCTTCCCCCTGTTCTGGGTCAGTCTCCCAGGACTCCTCCTCTCTGATGAACCTTACTGTTCCCCTGGCCAGTAGCAAGTTTGTCCCCAGTGCTCACAGACATACAAATCACCATCTCCTTAACTTCTCTGCAACTCTGTTCCTTCATCATGTAATCCTGTACTTCTTCATCCGTTTCAAAGTTTAAATCTTGACTATTTTACTTTACGAAAGAGCAAGTCTCTGAACTGCTATCAGTATAACATACTCCAGTTGCTCAAAAAGAGCCAGTCCAGGAGGAGAGCTGCCAGTTCTATATCTGAGGTCTCGGGTTGCTCTCTACTTCCTGCCGCCTCAACATCCTTTCCTGCCACAGCCTGACAGCTGACGATCTCCTTACACGCCTGCCCCGACATCCAAAGTAGCCAGCCAGCCCTTTTACTAATCACGTAGTGCACTCAGTCCTCGCCACTGCAATGACACATAGGAGAGTATAAGCACAAAAACAAAACGATGCTTCAGGATGACGAGCAAATCTAAACATCTCCAGCTGGAGAGATACGAATGGACGTCTGTAGCTTTCAAACGTTCTAACTAAGGTAAACCTCTGAAGAAAAGGCAAAGACAGCTCTTTCTGGGACCTGGAGCAAAACTTTTTGCTAAACGTAAATACTGAATGCAGGAAGGAGGCAACCATAGGAAAGACAATTACCTGATGAATTAATAAAACCAAATTTAAATTAGGGGCTCAAGGAGTCCAAAGCTGGGGGTCATGCCCCGGCATGGAGTAGAGAAAGTGAAAAGAGGTCACCATCCATGGAGGAGTTCCGAATCACAAACAGCAATGAAATCAGCTACACAGATAACAGAGTGAGCTCTCTGTGGTCGCACCTTCGGTACAACCTGGTCCAAAAGGCAGCAGTGCAAGTGACAGTCCAGGCATTCTTACAAATCAGGGAAAATTTCACAATGTCCTCAGGACGGATGTAGGAGGCCAGCAATAGCCAAATATCCATGGGATACTCTTCTCCTCCAGCCCCATCCAGGTTTTCTGAAACAGGAAAAAAGAACAACCACCTTTGATTTTCTACTGCACACATATCTTAAGCTAATCGTTTCAAGTCTCCCAGGGCCTGTGTAGTTGAGAAAAAGGTTTTAAATCGGTCTAAAGAAGCCCCTTAAACTTCCCACGTCCTGCTTACTTTAGCTGGCAGAAACCTTTGCCTCCTACTGCCCAGGACGTGCCCTTATTTAACAACTACTTACAGACTATTGTGAAGTTTTCAATATAACTCTGCCACATTATTTTATTCAACTCTTTTTTTTTTTTTTTTTTGAGAGGTTTTCGCTATAGGGCGCGTGCGCTCGCCAGACAGACAGAGAGAGACATAGAAACAGAAAGAGAGATATCCCCCCCCAGAGGGGATGGTCACGCCGCAATCCCTTCTCTTCCATTCTCCTCTCAGGATCTTGGGCACGCACGCACACGCACCTGGCGTGAGTTTTAAGCCACCGGGTCCAGGACGCGAACCGCGGTCGACTACGTGGGAGTCCAGCGACATAGCCATTACGCTGACTGCTGGTTCCCTTCAACTCTTATCATTCTTCAATGGAAATAAGGAAAATACTTCTGTGCTCATTTTACTAATAAGAAAACAGAATCTTTTCCACTGAGTCAAGGTGAACAGAACCCAGGTTTTCACTCTAAATTCCACTGTTGCAATATAAACCTCATCCTGGACTCTCCCTGCAAACATTTTCTTCAGTTCAGTGGTGTTAAAAAAACAAAGTTGACTTTAAACAGTATGAGGAAACCTCTAAGTACAAAATAAATTTAAAAGCCCTGTATGTTCATTAACTGCCTGCAAACATGTTTTGCCCTGGTTGCTCCTTTTCTCTTTGCCAGTTTGACCTATGAACCTGGCCACAGACATTCAGTCACTCCTTGACAAAATATCCCTACCTCCTCCTCCAACCTCAGACCTCGTTAGTGTTGATTCTCTTAACTCTGTGGCTCATTTGCATCTCAGGATCAGAAAACAATGCACACTCCAAAATGATCCCTGAATCTGGGCTAATACTAACCTGAATTCAAGCCTACTCATGGAACTATCTTAAAACCAGCTTTCAGAGGCTAACTGCCTCCTGCCGTCCTGTGACTCAATTAAGCTCCTGTGATAATGGAGACCAGTACGTCTAAAACCAAACCCCACGTTCTGGTTCCTATCCTCCCTGTAATCTCCAGTAACCACTCAAGGCTCAGCTGCCACCTTCTCCCACAGTACATCTTCTCTTTCTGAAAAAAAGGAAAATGACTTTGAGAATTTCCTCTACTGCGACCCATAAAGACTTTTCCCAGGCCAGCAGGAGGCGTGGAAGTTAAGGCTCTGGATCCCACATGACTAAATACATGGTTCAAGTCCTGGACCTGGTGGCGTGAAAAACACACCAAGTATATGTGGATGCATGTGTGCGTGCCCAAAATCCTGAGGAGAACGGACTGCAGTGTGGTCATCCCCCTAGGGAGTTATTTCTCACTTTCCCTCTCTCTCTGTCTCTCTCCCACACATATCCTATGGCAGAAAATTCTTTAAAAAAATTTTTTTTAATTTATATATACATACACACACACCAAGTAAAATAAACAGCTTACATGAAGTCAAGGTGATTAGTAAAACAAAGCACATGTAAGAATAAAGAGAAAAGTCTACAAAATTGTGAACATATTAAGAAACTGCTACTAAGCCTTTTAAAATGTGATAGTAATTATTTTAAAGAATATTTATCTTTCGGTGATAACTACTAAAATATTTACAGAGATGATGATATCTGGAAATGGTATCCTTTTTTTTAATATGCTAGAGGGTGCCAGTGCTCAATGGAGAGAGAGAGAGAGAAGCAAAGTGAGAAAGAAACAACCTCCATGTAGGAGGGTCACGCCACAATCCGCTCTCCTCCCTATCTCCTTTTGAGATTTTGGGCACATCTGTGCACTCACACCTGGTGTATTTTTTTCAAGCTGTCAAATCTAGGGCTTGAATCATGCTGTCAGCCATATGGGACTCAGCCTCCTCAACCACCACATCACCAGCTGGCCCTGAAATTTTTTTTTTTGGAGAGGTTTTTCGCTATAGGGCACATGCGCTCACCAGACCGACAGAGAGAAACATAGAGACAGAAAGTAAGAAATCATCCCCCAGGGGAAATGGTCACACCGCAATCCCTTCTCCTCCATTCTCCTCTCGGAATCTTGGGCACGCATGCACACGCGCCCAGCGTGAGTTTTTTAAGCCACCAGGTCCAGGACACGAACCGCAGTCGACTACGTGGGTATCCAGCAACATAGCCATTACGCTAACTGCTGATTCCCTGCCCTGAAATTTTTTGTTGTTGCTGTTATTTTAAAGAATGATTTTACTGGGGTCCAGCAGGTGGTGTTGTAGTTAAGGTGCTGGACACTACCACATGGTCGAAATGGTTTAAGTACTAGACCTGGTGGCTAGCTTTCTCGCATTCTCTCTCTCTCTCTCTCTCTGTCTCTGTCTCTCTCTGGTCAAATTAAAATAAATGAATGAACAAATAAAATTAACAATAATTATTTTTTTTTTAAAAAGAATTATTTTACTTCATTGTATTCATCATGTTTTAAAATCTGACCAGAGAGAGAAAGAATGAGAAAACAAGCCACCATGTCTGGGACTTGAACTGCAGTCAGTCATGTGGGAGTCCAGCACCTTAAATACCACACCACCTGCTGGCCCCGAAAATTGTTTCTAAGTAATCCAGTGTGTATGTGGTGAGGTGGGAGAGTAAACTCTGAAACAAAAAAGCCCATGAGTCCATGATTACTGAAGCTGGGCAACGGCTATATAGTCTTCACTATACTACCTTCTCTTCTCTTCTATGTTTCACGAACGAGAAGCTAAAAGAAAAAAGAAAAAAAGAAGTCTGACTAGAATGGAGAAAGTTGAGATAAAGTAAAGCATGAAAGTACAAGTTGACCTCGTAGCCTAGCAGTTAAAGGAGTTACTACTATGTGGCTGACCACAGTTCAAATCCTGGCCCAGTAGCTTGAAAAACAAGCCAGATGAGAGTGTGTGTGTGTGCACATGTGCTCAACATCTAGACGGGATAAAGAAATAGAGGAGAAAAGATCATTACGGGGTGCTCTCTCCCTTAGCCACCACACCACCTGCTGGCCCTGGTATGAGAGTCTTTGAGGGAACAACACAAGTGTTCTAAACTCCCTGTTCTACCTCTGGCAAGTGCATGAGCCCTCTGATACTAAAAAAAAAAAAAAAAAAAAATTAAAGATGGATTATAATTAAAAAAACTATAAACCAGAAGTCACATATATGATAAGTGACTGATATCTGAATAGTGAAGAATTCTTACAACTCAATAATAAAAAGATAAACAACCCAATATAAAAATGGGTGAATATTGGGACCAGCAGTTAGCGTAATGGCTATGTCGCTGGACTCCCATGTCGTCGACCTCGGTTCGTGTTCGTGTCCTGGACCCGGTGGCTTAAAATTCAGGCCAGGCGCATGTGCATGCGTGCCCAAGATCCCAAGAGGAGAATGGAGGAGAAGGGATTGCAGCGTGGCTATCCCCCCTGAGGGGTGATTTCTCACTTTCTGTCTCTCTGTCTCTGTCTGGCAAGCACATACGCCCTATAGCAAAAAAAAAAAAAAAAAAAGGGGGAATGATAGAAATAGACATTTTTTCCAAGAAGGCACACAATCAATACGGACAGGAGGGGACTAGCAGGTGGCATGGGAGTTAAGTGTTGGACTCCCACATGGCTGACCACAGTTCAAGACCTGGACCTGGCAGCTTGCTTTCCCACTTTTCCTTTCTCTCTCTGATCAAATTAAAAAATAACCAATAAATAAATAAATCTATTTATCTTAAAAAAAAAAAAAGAGCTGAGAAGATGCTCAATATTGTTAGCCCCCAGAAAATGTGGATCAAAACCACAATGAGATACCACATCATACCCACCAACCCCCGTAGTTTAAAACTCCAAACAATATAATTTAAAAAGTAAAATAGTAACAAGCATTCACAAGGATATAGAGAAAGTGGAACTTCATACATAGCTGGAGGGAATATAAAATAGTGTAGCTACTTTGGAAAACAGTTTGACTATTCTTTTTTTTTTTTTTTTTTGAGAGATTTTCACTGTAGGGCACGTGCGCTCGCCAGACAGACAGAGAGAGACATAGAGACAGAAAGCGAGAAATCACCCCCCGGGGGGATGGTCACGCTGCAATCCCTTCTCCTCCATTCTCCTCTCGGGATCTTGGGCACACATGCACACGCGCCCGGCGTGAGTTTTAAGCCACCGGGTCCGGGACACAAACCGCGGTCGACTACGTGGGAGTCCAGCGACATCTCTCCTCCAAGAGGTTCTAATTCAGTCTGGAGGAGCACAACACAGAATCTGAATGATGGTTTGGCATATCATATACCATTAATTTTCCTTTGTTCCATCTTATAAGTGTGTAAGTTTTAGCACCGTTAAGATGTAACCACAGAGTTCTACTTGCAACAGAACCTATTAGACATAAAGCAGGCATTAATAATTGCACAGTATTAGAAAGTCCATAACAACAACTAAGTTTATCTAAAATAAAACTGGTGACATAAAATCCACATATTTGGGAAAACATCTTGTCATAATTCACAAGGAATAGCTGCTAAAGTCTAGGTCACAGCTCCAGAAATGTGACTCCCTCTCAAATTTAGGCAGAAATAAAAAGCCCAGGTACAACAAACCCTGCCTCATCACCAAGATCTTAGTGGACATCAGGTTTTTTCCTACTCCCCTGATACCACCTCTTGTATCTGCACTTGTGCTACTGAGAATACAAAAGATGGCTTCACTTAATTATACAGGCAGGACTAATGGCCGAAGGAGAGCAAGCCCTGTACCTTTGTGCCTCTTGCTTTTCTTTTTTCTCAAGACATTTTTCTCACGGATGCTTTCTTCCTGGGCTTCCATCTCATCGCTGCTGTCAATGATGTCACAGGGCTCACCAGCCCCAGAAAGAGCTTCCTCTGCAGGAACTTGGGAGGCTTCCAAGCCACAAAGAGATTTTACTAGAAGAAAATAAGAGAATAAGATGACACACAGACTCCCTCTCCACCCCAAAATACAAACATCTTAGCCAAGATACCAATATCCATCAGGAAAAGTGTACGGGGGAGAGGAGGCTGCATCAAAGAGTCTGCTGGAGAAAGCTGAGAATTTATGGGGTGGAGCGGGGAGGAGCCAGCAGGTGGTACAGTGGTGTCAAGGTGCTGGACTCCTATACGACCAATCACAGTTTGAGTCCTAGACCCAGGGGCTTGAAAATCACATTGTGAGTGTGTGTGTCTCCAAAATCCCAGTAAGAAAATGGAGAAGGGATTGCTGCATGACCATTCCTGTGCATGGTGATTTCTCACTTCCCCTCTCACTGTCTTTCTCTTTCTCCAGCAGGCACACATGCCTTATGACAAAAAAAAAAGAAAGAAAGAAAGAAAGAAAACCAATGGGCAAGATTCCAAAGTCGCAGAATCTGACTTTTAGTTTGAGGAACTGAATCCAATTTAACCCTGGAGCTGTGCTGGAGACAGTAGGTATTAAAAAACCCAAGTCTCAGGGACCTTAGAGTAAAAACCTTGAAAACAAGGCCTTCAACAGAAATGAAAAAGAACACACCAAGTTTATCACACAAAGAAGCAAACTGCTGGGGACCAGCAGTTTGTGTAATGGCTATGTCACTGAACTCCCATGTAGTTCCCCGCAGGCCCCAGTGGCTTAAACTCATGCCAGGTGCATGTGCAAATGATCCCAAGAGGAGAAAAGTGGAGAAGGGATTGCACTGTGGCCATATCCCCTGGGGGGTGATTTCTCACTCTGTGTCTCTCTATGTCTTTCTGGTGAGCGCAAGCACCCTACTGCAAAAAATCTCTAATTAAAAAAAAAAAGAAAGGGAACCGGCAGTTGGTGTAATAGCTATGTCGCTGGACTTCCATGAAGTCAACCAAGGTTCAACTCCCAGACCCGGTGGCTTGAACTCACACCAGGCACGTGTGCAAGCGCTGCCCAAGATCCCAAGAGGAGAATGGAGGATGGAGAAGAAGGGACTTCAGTGTGGCCACCCCCCCTGGGGGGTGATTTCTCACTTTCTGTCTCTCTGTCTCTGTCTGTCTTTCTGGCTAACCCAGGAGCCCTATAGCAAAAACCTCTCAAAAAAAAAGGGGGGGGGAGAGGACCAGTAGTTAGAGAAACAGCTATGTCACCGGACTCCCACGTAGTGGACCGCGGTTCCTGTCCTGGACCCGGTGGCTTAAAACTCACACCGGGCACGTGTGCGTGGTGTGTGCCCAAGATCCCGAGAGGAGAATGGAGGAGAGGGATTGTGGCGTGACCATCCCCTCTGGGGGGTGATTTCTCGCTTTCTGTCTCTATGTCTCTCTCTGTCTGTCTGGCGAGCGCACACGCCCTATAGCGAAAACCTCTCCAAAAAATTAAAATTAAAATTAAAAAAAATAAAAAATAAAAGCAGCAAACTGCTGAGTAAAATATATGTGAGCTGCAGGAAAGAAAGTAATACCAAAGAAGAAAGCACTGAAAACTAAAGAAGAATATGCAATGATTTTTCTTTTAATGCAAGGACAGAAATAAAGTATTTCTGCTACAGTAACAGCTACTCTTGGCCAATCCTGCACCCCGCCCCCGATCCCGAGTATATGAATAAACACTAAGAGCAAACGCGTTTATGACAAGACGCCCAAAAGACTGCAAGAAAAACACTGGGACCGAATCCCAGATAAATATTTAAAACAACTGGTTTTGTGTTCGCGGCCAGAGACTACA